TTCCTGGGTGAGCCTTGGTCAGCACATTGCAATCGCAGCCTGAGCTTGGAGGGAAATCCGCACCCTGCTGCAGCCTGATCCAAGCAATCAGCTTTGCCTCTGGCAATACAAAAGCTTCATTTTCTCTGTGGTTGCTGCCTGGGCACCCCTGATGTCTTTTCTCCTCCCTGGTGGGATGTGCTGTGTGCATGCACTGGGGCAGCTGTGCAGGAGGCTCTGTGTGAGCGCTGGTGCATGCAAGCCTGGGATGGGCTTTTCAAAGAAACTCCATCCCCTTGGGCACCCAGTCTTTTCTGCGTTAGGATCCCTCTGAAGTTGTAGCCAAAGGGTTTTCTTGGCACTCATGTTCAAGGCAGAAGCATGCACTCAAAGGGTTTCGAAGAAATCCCAGTGGAAGAGGGGGAATTTTGCATTCCTGGACTCAGAGCTCCTCCAGTCAATGCAACCCTCAAAGCCTGGTCCCAGAGGATGGAGCCATCCTCTCACTGTTCACTCAGGCAGAACTCAGCCAGCATTTGGGGATGGAGCTGATAGTGTAACAAAATCAGGGGTGCTTTCAGATGAAGTGGTTCACTGGGATTTGAAGTCTACTTGCTGTATGAAATAAGAGGGTCAGAGAATCCCACGGTGGTCTCATCCTAGCTGGCTTGATCCCTCTGGCTCAGCCTTTTCCTAGCCTTAAGCAAACCATGGTTTCAGGGTTTCTCCTGAATTGGACTTTCTACTCCTTCATGAAAGGGGAAGTCAGGGAGGTCAGAAAAATTTTTGAAGGTTTGAGATTTGCTGTTTCTGGGATCAGATTTGCAGCATACTAAATACAGGACAAAGAACATGGGAGCAAGGTGTTAGTAGGATCAGGTTGGACATCACAGGGAAGATTCTCTCTGGAGCATCACTCCAGCAGATTGGTATTCTCTAAGTTTAATTTGTTTTTTTTCCCCCCCTTTCTACATCCCTTAAAAGCACCAGCTCCCTTAGTTAAGGCTGAGTGGGAAGGTGACTTTTGGGATTTTCAGAGACATCCCATCACTGGAGGTGCTCAAGGCCAGGCTGGATGGGGCTCTGATCTGATGGGGGGCAACCAGCCCATGGCAGGGGGTTGGAAGGGGATGATCTTTAAGGTCCCTTCCAGCCCAAACCCAAGCCATTCTATGGCTCTATGATTATTACAATTAATGAGCCCTTTTCTACCTGCTTGTGACTGTGCATAGGGACTGTGGGGATTCCATATGTTCTCATTGCTGTATCTGCTCTGTGTGATCCTTTCATCACCTGTAAGCTTTACATCTTCCTTATGCCCTTCTGTTGCTGCTGCTGCTTTTTGCTTTTTGCTGTAGGGAATTTGCCTAGCCCAGGTGCCAGTGTTCTCTCTCCTCATTAACCAGGACATTTTTCTAATGGATTTCAGGTATTTTGTTTGTTGTTTTTCTTCTTGAAGTGGGAGGAAATGGGACAGGCTCTGGGTTGTACGTGGCCAGGCTGATTGCATTCCCTCCTCTTACAGACCCACTCGGAAGAGAAGAGGAAGAAGATGAGGATGGGGTGCTGAGAGGCTCTCCAGCCGACTTGACTTTTGCATCAGAGTCTTGTTAACATCGCAGATAATTTTCCCCTGGAAATAACCAGAAAAATCTGCTTGGGCCAAAACAGTTCAAGAGTTTAGAAAAATGAGGAAAGGAAGGGGCCCTCGGCTTCTTTTGTGAGCATGTGATCCTGGTGTCAGTCCCTGGCATCTCCCGTCCCTATGGGGAAAAGAAAATGTTTGGGCATAATAAAAAAATAGAATAACTTGAAAAACAAACCAGAACAGTGTGAAGTGTCAGAACCAAAGAAAGCAATGGCAGCGCTCCCACTGCTGCGAGCAGGCCTGGGGTTACAGCCTTTCTTCTCAGAATCTACCAGCACAGGGAGGGGACCATTATGCAGTGCTGAGCAGGAAAAGCCCTCTTTTCCCAAGGCAAAACTGTCCCACAGCAGGGTTTGAAATGGGAGGGATGGGCACTGAGCTCCAGCAGACACTGGTGAGGAGAGGAGAGGAGAGGAGAGGAGAGGAGAGGAGAGGAGAGGAGAGGAGAGGAGAGGAGAGGAGAGGAGAGGAGAGGAGAGACCTTTGGTTGAGGTTTCCTATGATGGTTCCATCCAATTAGCTCTTCTGGAGTTTCCCACCTTTATCCCCTTTGTACATAGAATCACAGAAGCCCAAATCCTGAAGCCCAAGCTCAATCCACTTCCACCATGCCCACTGTCCATGTCACTCAGTGCCACATCTCTGTGATTCTGGAACACCTCCAGGGACTCCACCACCCCCTGGGCAGCCTGTGCCAGTGCCTGGCCATTCATTTGGAGAAGAGATTCTTCCAAACATTCATGCTGACTCTCCCCTGGTGCAACTTAAACCATCACCTCTTGTCCTGTTGCTGTTACCTGTGAGCAGGGGCCAACCCTCACCTTGCCACAACCTCCTTTCATGGAGTTGTAGAGAGTCATAAGGTCTCTCCTGAGCCTCCTCTTCAGCAGACTAAACAATCCCATTCTCTCAGCCACTTCTCATAAGACTTGTGCCCCAGACCCTTCACCAGCTTTACATACAGGCGCCCAAGATGCAACAGACCAAGGCAAAGTATTCTTCCTTCCTATGTGTCCTTATGCTTTGTGCTTGGCAGCCCCTGGGGTGAGTGCTCATCCCACAACACCACCTGGTGCTCCCAAACCTGGATACCAGGCATCTCTCAGACACCAGGTGGGGACTATCAGACAGTTCTGTAGTGCATGTGCTCTGAATTGATTCAGCTGACGGTAAGAGTTTGGTGCAAACCACATGCAGCCACCAAGCTGGGTCCAGAGGTAGCTGAGCAGAATTGCACAGCCTGTGTCAAGATGGAAGATGTAATCGTCCCCCCTGGTGCTCAAGTGCGTAATTCCTTAACATCTCTCCAGTGGATTCAGGTTGTCATCTTCCCACTGTGCATATGTAGGGTTTGTGCGTATGTAGGGTTCATTTGTATGGGAGATTTATGGGTGAATTAACGTGCAGATTCGCAGATGAACATTCACTCCACAGATGAACATTCATGTCCTCGTGTCTGATGAGTTTCAGCCAAAGCTGGTAGCAAGCCAAATATTTGCTCTGTCATGCTTTTGATCTGCAGTTTCATGCGACTATTTCTCATTGAGAAAAAAAAAGGGGGAAATAAAAATAAAGGGGAAGAAAAAAAAAAGGGGGGGGAAGAAAAAAAAGAGGGGGAAGGGAAAAAAAAGGGGAAAAAAAGATGTGTAGCTGAATTTGGGTTTATTTCTAGTGAGCTCTATCACCATCAGCTATGAACAGCCAACCCTTGTAGACACAAAAGGAGAAGAATACATGCCCACTGAACATGTATAACCTTCCTCCAGTCCCACCTCAGTCAGTGCAGTTCATAAGACTCTGCGACACTGTGCAAAGGGAATCGTGTTACTTTTCTTTAGGGTAAAGTTTGCACTTTTGTTTTGTTTTCAGCTTGGATTCTGTGGGTTACCAGTTTTACATGGGGCAAGTCTGAAGGTAAGAATAACACCAGGAGGAAAAATGTTGTGAGATTTCTGGTTTCTCCACCCCAGGACACTGCTAAGTATTTCCTGTCTCATGTCCTCAGTCAAGGTTGATTGAAGAAAATGCAACCATGATAAGCAACCAAGTTCTGAAATTTGTCCAAACCCAAACCTCCACAATTTCTGAGATTTACCAACTAAATAAAAAAACTCGTGTTCCCCAGTTTAAACTCTGGATGAAGCACTTTCTGACTCCCAGTTCACGCTGTAGGATGGTTAGCTGCTTTGTGTTTTCTGTGGCTGGAGTTCAGCCAAAATATCATAACTTGAATCCAAATTTCTTTAGAGTTCCAAACTTTGAAGGATCTGTAAAAAGCCAATGTGGTCATCCAGCAGTAACTTTCCTCTCAACTCTAGAATTTCATCCATTGATTCCTACCTTGAGGTCATTGCTTTCTGGCTGAGCAGCTCTGTTTCAGAGATGTGTGATCCAGTCTGGGGAGAGCTGGCTATTTTAAAGCCAAGACCCAGACATGGAAGTTACATCCAACATAACCATTCACCTAGTTTTAGACTGTTCAAATTTATATGTTTTGGGGCTTCCAGAAATCCTGCTTAGGAAATCTTCCCATGGCTGAATGGAAGGTGCCAATTCTCCCTGCATCCAGACCATATGTCTCATCTATTCCACCCTCTATAAATGATTCCCCCTTTTGACTCTCCTTTGCGACTCCTGATGCTCGTGTAGACCAGGCTTTCCAGGAACACTGGGACTGTTGATGTTTTGTCCCAGTTTCCTGATAATTGGCCATGTAGACTTTTGTCTGCATCATCTGGCAGACATCTCAGGTCCTGGACACTCAGCAGAGACTGAGCAATCTGCTGGCTGCTCTATATGGCTCCAATGGTGAGAGAAGCAATGGGGTTTTACAGGGGCCAGGGTTTGAAGCCCCTCAAAGCCAACAGATTTGATATGCAGAGCCCTTGTTTTCATGTGTTTTTCTTTTTCAATGTTACTGAAGACTGCAATCAGACAACCAGACTGAGATCCAAGCTAAAGGAGAGCTCCTAGCTCAAGAGGAGGTCAGCTTACTCCCATTTGTACAGAATGTTTGGTATTGAGGTACCCAGAGAGGAAATGAATTCAATATGAGTTCAGGTTTTGGTTGACTTTCACAATAGAGAAAGTAGAAACTCTAAGCAGTGTGGGCTAGGATAGGTTTTTTTTCAATCTAATTCACTATAAACAAAGCAAAATGAAAGGAAAACCTCAAAGCAGTTTTGTGTGGAGATGCCAACACAGGGATCTGTGCTCTGTAGCAGTGCCTCTGAAGAAGAATCATAGAATTGTAAAATGGTTCAGATTGGAAAAGAGCTCTATGATCCCCAAGCCCAAACCCAACCCAACCTACCATTCTCATGACCACGTCCCTCAGTGCCACATCTCCATGGTTCTGGAACACCATGGACGTCTCCATGGACGGTGACCCCTCCACTCCCTGGGCAGCTGTGACACTACTTGATCTGTCTTTCAAAGAAGAAATGTTTCCTAATATCCAACCTGACCCTTCCCTGAAAGGAGAAGACACCCAAAACAAGGAAAAGCACGCTCCCACACACTATTTGCTAGTGCAAGGACTATAAACTGGGTAGGTCTGTTGTGGTCCCATCCTTGTCTGCTCACATGCTTCAGTTTGAAGCAAACCTTACAACCAGATTCAGTTGTCTGTGCTCTTCCTCACTATTCTTCTATAGGGACAGATGGAGGGAAGGAAACTCCAAGTCCTCATGGAGCCTTTGCACACTGATGGCAATGTCAGTAGAACAAGGGAGGACAATTTCTTGAGGACTGGACCAGAAACTGATGGATGAGGCAAAGCCACAGATCAAATGGAAACGCCACCCCTCAAGCTTTCTGAAATACACCAGACAAGGAAGGGGTGATTTTTCACATGAATTAAACACCATAGGAGCTTGGGAATGCTTTGGAGATATGCTAGGAGGAGACAAGGGCAGAAAAAATACAACTGTATGCACTTACATTAGAGAGAGCCATGAGAGAGCATCAGTTTTCCTATGGCAAAGTTTCTCTTATTGTCTGCATTATTGCTGGATAATGCTAAGGTGTTTCTCAAAGTGCTTCCAGGCATAGATGTTCAGTGCTTCTATCCAGGCCTTAGGAAAGAAAAATCTCCCTGTTGCAAATTTATCTGGAATTACAGGAAATCCCCTGGCTCTGCAAAAGCCGGCATTTCTCCCATTAGACAGGAGATTCTGTAAGAAGTATCTCAGCCACCACATCTGCATTAAAGCACAAACTCTTCCGTGCTAGGAAAGGCTTCTTGCTTGAAAGGAAAGGAGGAACCTCCCGATTGACGTCAAATTTCAAATTGCTCTGTTTTGATATTTTGGATTTAACTAATGCAATATTTTAAATGGCCACATGGCGCGACTTTTCTTTTTTAATTAAAAATAATTTGGATGGAAGAGTCAACATTCATCAATATGACAAATGAAAATGAGAGCTTTTAAGCTTTCTTTAAAAAGGTTCAAACATGGAGTATTTCAATAAAGTCCACAATCCTCTTCCCCATCTCTAGATTTCTGGGTGTCAGCGCTTGGAATATTTCAGCTTTTTATCACAGTTTATGATGGGAAGCTTGCTGAGATTTTAAAATAAAATTCACAGAATGGGGAAACCATTTCACACCCAACTGTAACACCCTGCAGACAGACTGTGTTCAGTTAAAGATGCTAATGTTGTGAAAAACAGATTTCTTCACCGCCTTTGACTTTTGCAAAGCAGACAGCAGTGTGGGATTTGGAGGGATCTGGAGTCAGGCTGCTCTTCTACATCATCAACAGAATTGTTTACTGAGTTGGCTTTACATGAATACCTTGTTCACATCTGCTAATAGCCCAAAGGTAATGGGCTTACATAAGCCAGACTCTGAAGAAAGTGATGTCTCCCAGGTGTCCTTAGGATTTGTAAGGAGGCCAAAAATGAGAGAAGCAGAATCTACGGAGAAAGTGAATGTAACTTTTCTGAAAACTTCCATGGAAATTGTAGCTTTCTTCTGCCACCATTATCGTGCTGTGAATCCACACTTGGATGATGCTCCCTGGTCACTGAGCAGCTCATTGAAAAGGGAGCATTAAAATGCTGTCTGTTTTGATTAGCACCACTGGGAAACACCTGTGAAGATATCAGTCTCAATCATAGAATGGTTTGGGCTGGATGAGACCGAAAAGTCAAAAATCTGATAAATGAAAGCTGACTGTGGTAGGAAGCTGATTTGAAAGAAAGGTGGTATATACCCTGAGCAGAAGAAAACAGAGTGTATTTCATTCATTTTCATCTCCCCTTCACAGAACCGTAACTTGAAAAGGATGGATAAACAGGGAAACCAGAAAGGGAGCTTGTTTGGCCAACTTTGACTGAACAACCGCTCCACTAAAATCAAGAGTCAGAATGAGATCTTTATTCAGTACAGCCCGAAGCAAACTCCTCATTAGCAGGATGAGGTAATTGCTTGGGGATTGGGACCCCAGACAGCCGGCTTGATGCCTCCACAAACGGCCTTTTGAAGCTTTCCATCTTCCTCGGGAAACATGGAACCTCTATCTTCTTTTACTAGAGGTTTTTAGATGAACTCCAAACAAGCTGCAAGTTGGCTCCATGCCACGGTATTACTAACACAATCTGGCAGGAGGGCAAAAAACAACCTCACATTGACAAAAAAAAAAAAAAAAAGAAAGAAACTCCTTGCGCTATAACAAGTTGATTCTGTTGGAAAATTGCAGTCTATTGTCCCGTGCCAAGAACATCCAAATCAGGTAGATCATTGGCTTTATTTTGCGGGCAGCTTTGATTATGTAAGAATTTAATACTAATGTGTTTGGAGCCGTCGGTGCGGGGCTGAACTTCCCCCCATCGTCTTATAACGTCTGGGACCTCGCAGCAAAACACCACGTGGTCGTGTCAGGTAGGGGGATGAGGAACAATAGGATTACCTGGCATGAGATCTTTTCCACCGCGCGGGCCAAGGAGGCCCAGAGCTTATCCCTTTGGCCTTCCCAAAGAGGAGAGATCAAATGCTTTGCTGTCTTAGGGATTATGGAAGGAAGGGAGTGTGATTGAGCACTTTCAGCTCAACAGATGAGTTAGGCCTGGCAGGAGAGCGGTGGAGCAGGAGGGAGCTCATGATGGAAAATGAGAAGGAAGGCGATACGGCTGATGGCTGAAGCCTGAGACGTTTGGTCGGAGGTCTTCCTCAGGTCAGAAGCTAAAGCAGCCTGCTCACACCACAGAATCCTCTTGGGTAGGTTAGTGAAACTGTGGAAAGTCCCGGGGAGAAGAGCGGAGGTCGGGTTGTGGCGGTGACTTTTCCCTGCTCTCCTTCCACGTGAAATGAAACCAACTTGCCCTACATGTGCTGCATGCTGGGCATGAGGGCATGGCTGGTTGTGGTGTCTTGGTTGACATGCGGTGGCTTGGAAGCTGTTGATATCTTGAGTAGGGGTCTGTGGCATTAAACTTATTGTCTGAATCAGGGACGAGCTGAAAGAGTGCAAGAGAGGCAAGAATAAAAGGGTGACGAAGGAGAGGGAAAGTGGCTTCATACTTTCAAAGCTCCTGGTTTGTGTTGAGGAAGAAACACAGTGAATGAAATAGGATGTGAAAAAAATCCTCCCTTTTTTTGGGAGGAAGGACATGCAGGTACATCTTGATGAAAATCTAGACGTGCTACTGCAGGTTATCTGCCTGTATTATTGCAGAAAATCAGGTGGAATCACTACGGATCGTGAATTTGTGACTGAGCTTTGCATTTTACAGGGTCATGGGATAGGTAAGGCTGGAAGAGACCTCAGGAAGTGCTTAGCCTAACCTTCTGCTCAGAGCAGGTCAGCGGGGAGGACAGACCATGTTGCTTAGGGCTTGGTCCTTCAAGGTCCTGAACACCTTCAAGGATAGAGAGAGCATAACTCGCCTGGGCAATTTCTGGCACACCTTGCTTCCAAATTAATTGACACTTCAGCAATTAGCTCAGCAGGGAATTCACTTTGCCTGCGTTGTAATTTCCTTAACGTCTTCTGTGTGTGGAAGGAAGATACGGGAGACTTAGAGCGGGTGGATCCTCCCAGATGTCCTGAGGACAAGTGCTGCACTGTGTAAGCTCTACAGCCAGCAGACCTGAAAAGCCCGAGCAGCTTCTTAATTCTGCCAAAGTGGGAGGTGCATGTACCTCCTGCACCCTGCCAAACCCCATCAGTGTCTTTCCCCAGCTGTTACCTCATCTGGCCAAGCACTCCGGAGCAGTTTGTCTGTTCTTTCTCTAACGCTTTTATCTGATTGGATTTTTCTCCTGGCACAGCTGTGGGGCTGCTGGGTGACCTGGGGTAAGTCATTTCTTTTTGCTAAAATGGGGCTGGTGCTCTCTCTGCCAACTTGGGAGTGTGCAGAATGGTGATCACTGGGGTAATGGGATATGACACTGGGACCTCTGCATCTGGCTGGTGGGATGCAAAGGGGAGGCAGAAGACAGATGGATGGATGGGCACTGTGACAGGAAAAGCCTAGAGCTGGTGAACTCGAATTTTTCACAGCTAACCTACACTTTGAGCAGCATGATTGCTGCAGACTGAACTGGCCAAGAGGTCAGGAAAGTGATCCTATCCCTCTGCTCTGCGCAGGTGAGGCCACACCTCTGCCCAGATGTGGATTCTTCGGTACAGGAGAGACATAGTCCCGTTGGAGTGCATCCAGAGGAGGGCCACAAAAATGATCCACAGAATGGAACGCCTCTCCTGAGAGGGCAGGCTGAGAGCTGGGGCTGTTCAGCCTGGAGAAGAGAAGGTTCTGAGTTGACCTGATAGTGGCCTTCCAATATCTAAAGTGGAGAATTAGGAAAGAAAGGGACAGACACTTTATCAGGGTCTGTGGTGATAGAATAAGGGGAAATGGCTTCAAGCTTAAAGAGGGGAGATTTAATTTGGATATAAGGAAAAAGTCTTTTACAGTGAGGGTGGTGAGCCACTGGAATAGGTTGCCCAGAGATGTAGTTGGTGCCCCATCCCTGCAGACTTTCAAGATAAGGCTGGATGAGGACCTGGGCAACCTGATCTTGCTGTGTGTGTTCCTGTTCATTGCAGGGGAGTTGGACTAGATGGCCTTTAAAGGTCCTTTCCAAACCCAAGGATTCTATGATTCTACGATCTCTGGAATGGTCTACTCTTCTCCATCTCTACACTCATCTGACTCCATCTCCAACCTACCAGGCTCTGCTCTCCTGCCTTGACAACTACCTACCCCAACCCAACCACATCCCATAATGTATATGGTCCATCCTGTAAGATCACAGAATCATATCATAGAATCATAAAATGGCTTAGCTTGGAGGAAACCTTATAGACCATCTAGTTCCAACCCCCCTGCAATAGGCAGGGTTGTCAGCCACTAGATAAGGCTGTCCAGGATACAGTCCAATCTGATTTCCTTCTGGAGTGGGAATATCATTTGTAATATAGGAGATCACTTCTACAGACTGGCTGAGACTGTTCCCATCCTATCTGCACCCAAAAAAGACACATGTGTTGTTGGTAATTCTTTAGCACCCTGGGTATCCTTCTCAGCATGAGACTGAGCAGGAGTGTGGCCCAACTGCCCTACTCTATCTATCCTTCCCCTTCCCCTTCCCCTTCCCCTTCCCCTTCCCCTTCCCCTTCCCCTTCCCTTTCTCTTTCCCCATCCCTTTGCCCTTCCCATTCCCTTTTCCCTCATCCCTTTCCCTTCCCTTCCTTTTTCTTTTCTTTTCTTTTTTTCAGGTGTGTGCTCAGAAAACCTTTCTTTTCTGGGAAGCTGTTCCATGGGACTGGCAGCAGCCTCAATCCAGTAACTGAGCAGGGCCATTAGGAGAAGATACATCAGGATTTCTTTTTTTTTTTTTTTTTTCTGACAAAAATCCATATTCCTACAGGTGTGAAAGTTCCCTTTTCCCAGAAATCCTGACAAATGGAAAGTCTCTCCTTAGCCAGGCTGATGCTT